CATCAGGTAGCACCAACTGTGGCAGCCTACCACCAATTAGACATTCCTTTTTGAGATTGGGACTTTTGTTCGTCATTAGTTTGTTAGTCTAATAGACCTTTTCATCCCGGTAGTTGTCTGACCGGCAGATAGTCTAACCGGCAGATAGAAGGTGCTGATGCACTCGTTGCAATTAGGTTGCTTCAATTTGTTTGATTTCGGTTTCACAGTGCATGCGGCTGTGTGATTTCGGTTTCCATGTGATTTTGTTTCTGTTTTATGTCATTTTCGCTTAATTTTGTGAAACAAATCTGTCCCTTGCAGCTCACAACCAATGAAACAGTGGTACTGAGCCACTTTGACAACCACTAAGTGGTTTTTAGCCTCAATTGCAGGCATTTTTACTAACACCTTTGACACATCTGATTATCTCCATCATTAATTTTGGCTAGGTTCGGTGGCGAAGCGACTGAACTGATGCACAGTGAGGATTCAAGTCTATGGTCGTATTCAATGACACTAGTTTGCAGAAAAATTAACTACTGAAGAGAACAATGCATCATTGCATAGTGAAGAAGCAGGTCCACAACCCATTTAACAATATACTGAATTGTGAAGAACAGATGCACTTGCAAGTTCACTGCTCACTGTTTAGTTTTCGTGGACATCAACTGTCTGAGAACTTCGCAGACTGGAAAGTCTCGTATAGTGACGCAGGTAATCTATAGAAGGAAGTGAAATTGTTTCTGTCTGTTTCGGACATTTCTTTCATTGTCAGCCCTGCTAAAGTACTCATTAACAGCATATCAGGATATTGGCCTTAGGAAATACAAATTCGCTTAGGGTGTACTCGAGGTATGATATAAGTGAAAGACTCGTCAAGTTACACCTGATAGCTGGCTTCCGTAAAATAAAATTAAAAGGCACAATAGAAGAGACATCAGAAAGTTTGGCAAATGTCGAACACAAGGCAACATGCCACTTCATGAACCTGTGTAGATCAATGTTTACTTGTTTGAACAGACGTGCTTGATGCAGTCAACTATCATTAAATCAAACTCCAGGAAGCCACAGATCTGTTTGAAATATCAGAAGTCTAAATTATCAGAAATTCATTGAAATATGATGCAGCAAAGTAGCAGTTTGTTATAGGAATAGCTGCACATTCTAAGCAGATTTGTTTTACTCTCCTATACACAGGCCTACTTATAAGCAGCTGCACATAAATCATTGGTGAAGTTCAAAGGGAAAAGTGGTTTTGACTCAAGATTTTCTAATTGAATATTGAATAGCCTCTCCAAGCCTTTTACTTCGATTTGAAATGACAGATTTGGCCATATTGAATGGGTTAAAGCAGCGCAAAAAAGACGAAGGACCAGTAAAAGGAAACACACAGACACAGCCCTGTGTCTGTGTATTTCTTTTTATTTCCTGTGACGTATTTCCTGTGTTATATTGAATGGGTGTTTTAACCCATTCAATATGACCATCAACCAACTCGCCCAACTTTCCACCTTGTGACAGATTTGGCATAAAGCTTAATCAAAAAAGACGCCCAGCTATCCTAATCGAGGGAATTTATAAATCTGCTTGATATATGCAAATATTCTTTCTTTAGTCTAAAGTTTAACCCCCTCAAAAAATTAAAAAAAAAGTCAAGCACGAATAATGAAATCAGATTGTCAGGACAGTTCGGCTTGCATTATTGCGGTGGGTCATCGAATGCACTTCTCATTGAGCACAATGCTAGCCACTGAAAATAAATCTCTTCACCATCGGCAGCGTCGCGTTCGGGCGATTTTCAAGCAGACATTTTTTTCTCAGCGTTGCATATTACGGGCCCCTAGGCACTCTCACGCTCTCTGTGAATTTTTTGTGCGTGAAGTCCCAAGTTTTATATTTAAATTAATTAAATTGAACTGGCTCATTTAAGCAAATCATAGAGCACTAAAAAAACTTCAGACATGAACAAAGCATGGTGTAGTTTTTTCTAAGTTGATAAAGCTAGTTTATGTTGCAAATGCAATTAAGAACATCAAACATGTAGGTGCAATAATGTGACGAAACAAATTGCTTGATCCTGACGCACCGCGATGCCTAGATTCAGATAAGATGCACATTAAACGTTTGTTGCCTATCTTTTCCACAAGTGGAAGACTCTTGGAAAAGATAGGGGGCTATAATGTAAAGCAACTGTTATGAATGAAAATGATGATGCTGTCATGAAACGGCTGTTTATGCTAATTGTTTCTGTCACCTTTTTTGTGTCTTATTGTGAATGTTGCGCCGCTATCAGTGAGCAAACCTGAGTTACATTGGCTTTTTAACCTTTGTGCTATCTTAGAATCATATATATACTCAATGTGCGTCAGTGCTAATGTTGATTCCCGTGCGTCATATGGCCTCCTCAAAGGTATCCGGGAGTCAGACGGTGAAAATAGTCAAAACGTGCTACAGAACTTGGCTGTGTAATGTGGTAATGCAATTAAGTAGTAACATATAAATATTGAATGACAATTTCCGAAGTAAAAAAATAATATCCGGTGAAATGCAACGAAAAACGTCAATACAATGCATCCGCCAAGGTGCGGAGGGGAGAGCAGAGCGACAAGTTGAAGCAACCTAATGGCGGCCGCATCATGCGATTCCGAGATGGCAGCACCTATGCGAGGGTGGGCGAAAAGGCCTTTGAAACGAGCATCTAGAATTGGGTTAAGCAAAATTCTACCAAATGGACCTCAGAAAAAAAAGAACCGTCTTTTTACCTCTGCTAAAAAGCTACACGTCGCAGGAAAGTGAAACTACAGTGGTTGGGGTAGAACGCAAGTTTGAGAACATGACGTTACTTGAATAAATTGAGGAAAAGAAAAACCAAGCAGGCATCCATCTAAGCCTAATATAGTAAAAATAAGAACTGACATTTATATTGGGTAGAAACTCTTGGCAGCAACAAAGAAAAAGTTTCTTAGTGTCAAGTGTTTCTCACCGATATCAATCCCACATCCGTCCGCAGTGCAAGTTCTTGTTCACACAATATTAGGTTTAGGTAAACAGCAGCTCATAAAACAATTTGGTTTTTCACTTTTAATCTTTGGATCCAAGTAACGTCACATTCTAGCCCAGTCGTTAACGTCGCATTCTCACAGTTTCAGCTTCCTGCGGTGCAGTTGATTTACGCAGTCCGAAAAACAATTCTTTTGTATCAAGAACATTTGTACATTTGCTGTTGTTTATTTGGCTTCATTCTTTCAATATAAGCCAGTATGTCTACACTTGGGGTGTGCTCAGTCAGTCTTAGAAATGGTACTCTTACGGATTATACTACGCTGTACAAGGCTAGTGACATTGCTTCCTTGCGTGTCGAGGGTTTGTTTCTTGTTGATTTACAGTTCCGCTTTGTCCGTGGTTTTATGTTGTTTAGACACTCTTTCAGCCCTTGAATGCAATGTCGAAGGCTGCTGGGAATGTGGCCTTTCTGCAAACAGATTTTGCTGCAGCAGCTCATCACATGTTTAAACAGTAGGCTGGGTCTGTAGGTCGATGTGCTCATATCATGACAAGTGGTGTAGCATATAGGGTGGTAATATACTGGGTGTTTTCGCAACGACTTTCAAAAATCCTAAAAATTGGGGCGTTTGAAAAAATAAAAATAAAATAAACTGTCTTCAAGAACTACCAGCCACGGCGGACGTCGCGAATTGCCAAAAACATACTAATTAGCCAGCTAATAAAAATTTGTTAATTAACTTTTTAATTAGTGGAATTAGACATATGGTTCCAATTAGAAAGTTGCTGGGCGTCATCGAAAACCACTAAATCAGACATTTTCGGAAAGACTGAGCGCGTGAGAAGAGCAGTAGCGCACTAAAGTTACCACTCGTGGAGCAGGTACAAGGCTGGGGCTAGATAAGAGGCAGAAAAATCGTTTGGGCGGCTTACCGCAACCACTAGCCTTGTACGTGCTCCATGAGTGGCAACTTTTGTGTGCTACTACTCTTCTCGCACGCTCGGTCTTTGTGAAAATGAATGATTAAATGGTTTTCGATAACGCTCAGCAACTTTCCAATTAAAACCCTATGTCTATTTCCACTACTTAAAAAGTTAATTAACAAATCTTAATTACTTAGTTGGCTAATTGGTATGATTTTGACAATTCCTGACGTCCAGCGTGGCTGGTACTTGGTTCCCGAGAACAGTCTTTTTTTTTCAAATGCCTTAATTTTTAGGATTTTTGAGTCTTTGCAAAAACACCCGGTATAGTGTTATATGAAAACCTTTCTCATCTGGTAGTTTTACCAGTTGTGGATATTAAATATTGACTGGCGACAAAAGCATGATTTATTAGTCTTGCAATTTCACTAATACCCTCTTTAACATGCCCCCCCCCCCCTATCATTACAATGTTACATGAAACTTTCCCCCTGTTGAGAATAGTGCGTGCTGCAGGTTACCATGTGCCAACCCCTCTAGCAGAGATGTCGTTTTTTCCTTTACCTTTTCTGCAGATTCTGCATTGCCATTTTTCTTATCTGTGACATGGGAGTCTTCCAGTGCATAAGTTGTCCGGTATCCAGACTGTACTAGAAAATCGAGGTCTTATCACATGTGATAATTTTTTTTTTAGAAAGTTGAGTTTTGCTGTGAATCGTTCCATGAAGTTAGTACAAATGTGTTTCCAGGTGCCTTTCTGTTCCTGACTGAGCAAAACGTGAAAATTAGTAAAATTTTCTGCAACAATTGGTGATCAAGTATTTGTTGATAACAGACATGGGAAGCGCACTTGAACCGAGTTAATGGGAGGACTTGCAGCAGAACCAGACTCAGTGAGAAAGGTCAAGACGTGTTGCAAGAAGTATATTTTTCAGTACAATACGGAAACGGACCATCTTGTATATTCGACCTACATCACCCTGTTCTGGTTTTGTGTTGTATAATAAATCTGTGTTGATTCCAGGCCGTTTTTGTCTAGCCACATCAGTTATAGCATGATGTACAGGAGTTCTTCATATGGCAGATACCTTTTATTTCTTGAAACCGACATAACTTTCGTCGGTGGATGGGAACTCTAGTCGAATTCGTTGCACGGCGCAGCTGGGCAGTGGCACCCGGTTACCGCGCCCCAGCTTATGGTGAACCCACCAAGTGAATTGCCGGTAGGCAGTGTAGCGGTGCCTCCTAAAATGAGATGATTGCATGAAGTACCAGTCAGTTGCCAGTTCAAGAGAATATAATAGAAACTAACTGCAATTTACAAAAATTTTCTTAATATCTAGTTACATGGTAGCAATATCGATAATGCAGGAAGAAGCATACCTTTGTATTTTTTATTACTTGTCATCACCGAGGTCAATCAGTCATTGGCATTTATAAAAATTTACTTCTCGTTACGCAATTTTGTTATTTTTTCCTTGAGATATCGCACCCAACCATGCTGCAATGATGACCTGTATATGTACCAGTTGCTATCTGTATTATCTGAAATGCTATGAATACAGCGATGGACGAGCTTGAAAGCAAATTTTATTGAATAGTAAACTCTTCATAGATTGTGCATGTTAACACGTGTGTTTTATTTGGTGACAACTATTTTCTGCCATGTTGCAAAAGATAGCGTAGCTGCGATAGTGCTTTAACTGTCAAAGCTAGTTGTGCGATAGCATTTGATTGAGAATAAACACAAAGCCATGTGCTTTTGCAGCAGTGCGTAGCTGAAGCACGGTGGAAGCTACATTTGCCTCGACAATGCAGCACAAAACAGGTGATGCCGAGTACAGTGCAGGCAATACAAGTTACAGAACTCTTCTATGGTGGTTTATCCTTTTATCTTACAAATCCAGAAAAAAAAGGAGCATAAGAAAACTGGAATCATGGAATGTTGATTTCTGAAGGAGAGGCAGTATCAAGTGAGAAAATCATCTTCCTTACATCATGACTTCTGCTAGAATTACAATATACATACTCTTGTGGGCCCCTGTCTCCTGCATCAAGAGGGCAGAAGTACCGGAGCTTGAGGTACTCTAGGTCCAAGATGTCGGTGTTTAGGCAATACAGCTCGAACAAGGGGTGCTTTGTTACACAAGGCACCCCCTGGTCACTGCACATACGCACCACATTGTGCAACTCCCTGCAGCACACCGACTCCTCGACTGTCTGCATTGGTCTGCAGACGCTGCCACAGGAGCACCTGTTAGTACAAAGAGATTTGTTTTTCTATTTATTCACCCTTAGTATTCTCGAGACCTACAAAGTGTGTGGTATGTACAAATATGTTCGTGAAAAAGTACTAAATTCGCACAACCTTCACAACGTGTGTTCTTTACATCTTTGGTTTGCAAGCACTCACAGTAGATTACATTCCTTCAGGGAAGATTAGTAGCCGAGCATGTTGAACGGAACATGAAATCGCAGAACCAGCTGGGGATGCTGGGCTCTGTCCATCCCTCTCCTGTTCGATCTCGATGAGCATCGTACCGCCGTGTACCGTTACTACATGACATATTGCACTGACGCAATGTCTCGGCTACAGTGTGAAGCACTGTTGCTGCACTACGGCAGGCAGTCTTCAGCGATAAGTGTGAGCGAAGATTCTACCAGAGCGAGCGCGATGCTTTGAGCGGGACCGCTGCGCACGCGCGAAGGGGAAACGTCGTGCAAAACCACCTCGGGCTTGTAGCATGGTAGCACTGGTTACGTACGCACTTGCGGCGGAGCACCCGGGCAGATTGTGTTGCTACATCACGAAAATAAAAAGCGCGAAAGACGAGGACAAGTGGAAGACTACACAGGACAAGGGTTTGTCCTGTCTAGTCTTCCACTTCTCCTTGTCTTTCGCGCTTTTTTATTTTCGTGATGTTTACCCAACTAGGCCAACAAATTATTTCGCTAAAGATGTTGCCTACACTAGGGTGCCTTCATGTGCGCTTTGCTTGGGGTGATGACATCTGGCCATTTTGTTTCGAACGCTTATTTTTATTTTTTGTTCTGAAGCGCGTGAAAGGGCGTGTCCCTGCACGCGCTCGTGGCGCTGACTGTGTTACGGCGACATTTTGTTTCCTGCGATTTCTTTGTATTTTCCCTGTGGGCGCGTGCTGTCGGCATCGGGTACTACAAACGATGGCATCACCCTAAACAGAAGGGCATTGAGGCACACTAGCCTACACGATCCAGCCCTCGCGCGGGGAAAGCTCTTTCGAAGGCCACACGCGCTTTTTGGTTCGAAACTTGCGTTTTTATACATCTTTCAGTCCTTCCATAAAAGCGTTTCGCGACACATTTATTGCCGTGTTCGTGCGTACGTACACTTTTGGATAGCCGCCGTTGCAAGCGTACTTTAGCTACTGATCTTTGTTAACGCGAGCGCTCCTTCGACAAAACCACGTTTCGCAAGCTTACCAACAGAAGTTACACGCTAATACAACGACCTGGTTCAGACAGCGTACTTTCATCATTCATGACAGCGCGGCTAGCGCGCTGTCATTAAATCGTCTCGCTGCTTTATTACACGTGCGCGCGCGAATGCATTCGCGGACTCTTCTGTGACTAGACTCACCAATTCGCCGTGCCGACGCGCCGGGCTGCTGGTGGATGTGGGCTGCCTGGCCAGCCTGGCGTTTCCGGAGAGTCGGACGACTCCTCGTCTGTTGCGGACGACGATGCCGAAGGATCGTAAAGATATGGCTCTAAGCCGAATCGCTTTTCGCTCACCATAGCCACTAGCGATCTGTTGACGTCTTCGTCTTCGCTAATGTCATCGTACCCACTGCCGCTGCCACCACTCTCGCCATGTAGACCTGCCATCGCACACTCAAGGCAGTTGAAGCAGCTCTGACACCTCCGCGCCTCTGCTGGCCCCGCGATATCTCTACAGCCCTTGGGTACTTCGACAAAGCGAGATTGTAACGCGTTGACGCCTCCAAGTGGCAAAACTCGTCACTACGGTACGCTTGGTCGTCCGAGGCACGATGACGTCAAGACGTCTGCCGGATCTCCCGAGATGCATCGCGCTCCTCCATGGCTGATTTTGAAGCGCTCGCCAAAATCGCGGCATTTAGAGCCAAAAATATAGCCATCTGCTCAAAATACGACCGTGCGATTATTCATTACAGGTTTAGCTGATCATATTGAACTCATTTCTTGATGTTTTCTCTATATTTCAAGTTTCGATTCCGTATCCCTTTAACGCTACCATTCTCTAAACAAGCCTCATTTCTATTCTCTTTCTCCCTCTCTCCATGTAAAACGCATTCGTAACGGCGATGCTTATTCAACATATTCGCTAAAACAACCACCGCTAAAGCCTTTCGAAGGCGGTGTCCAGTGAGGCGTACACTTCAAAAAGAGTCTTCACCTGTTTTTACTGTAACACCTTTTTCCAAACTTTTTTACGCAATTCAAACATAAACGGTGTTTCATAAAACAACATTTTATTTCACAATTAGGAAAAAAAAGCTGTATTACTTAGAATAAATGTTTTGAAAGGGTTTAGTCATGAGTTTAAGACTCTGGTACATCTGTTGGGAACCCGTAAGGGTTCAAAATGGTTTAGTCTTTGGACACAGCTGCTGGAGATGAAGCAAGCCCGTTTTCTCACTGAGTGGTGGGGTACGGGATATATGTATGTAATGGTACGTTCGTAAGGCTGTCGGCGAGGACGCAATTACTGAACGCGCTCACTCATAGCAAACTATAAAATCTAAACAGCCGTGACAATGCCATTATATGCTACCGTTTTTTTTTTTTTTTTTGTTGCGCTGCTGTTTGGCAAAGTCTCTACCATACTACATGCAGCGGTAACGTGCTCCCTGACAGGACAGTCTCAACGGAAATGACAAGTCTGCAGGTGATTTTGGACAGTGAAGTTTCTGGTCTGAGAGAGCGACTTGTTTGGTTTATGTTATTTAACGTTACAGTGCACCAGAAACAAAACAGCAACAAAACACTCACGGACACAGGCACACTAAACATAACACAATCGCCCAGCGCTGACTCACAACTCTTGGTTTGTATTGATCATCTTCTTCTACGTACAAAGAACAAGCTCCTCTTCTATGCATTAAGGACGAGATGCCAATCCAAAAATTGGAAAATTGACAAATATAAAACTTACTTACAAATAAAAAACAAAAATAAACATTGAAAGATGATGAATGATAGCTGAAAAAGTATGAATAATTCTCACTGTTGCTGCCTGAGAGACCCTTTGGCCAAATATTCAAGTTCCCTTTTCGAAAGAGTTATGGGTGGGTTGCTGACACAGCTGGCATTAAGTCTTTCAATGCTTGCTGCTACTATAATTTCCCTGGTGACCTGGTTGAGACTCTTGCCTAGCACAGTACAATTGTTTAAAAACGCCGAACATCCGCAGTCCCTACAGTGTATTCCGAAATGTCGCGAGCTGGCGTTGGCGATGTTGTTGCTATAGCTCTCGAGGGCGGTAATTTAGACACAAACCAGCCTTCCCTATGTGCTCTCCCCCGTAAGAAAGTGAAGCACCCATTACGAGTGTTTCACAACTCAAGTCAGAATTTTTTCGCCTTTGTCAACACGTATAGAGACTATCTCAGCATGTGCTTCTTTCATAATATGCACTACAACCTGCTACACCTAAACCTGTTATCCTCCTCCATACATATCTCAACGGTGTGATCGTGTACTCAAAATTGAACTATGACAATCGTAGACCAATCAATATAAATTTTCTCCGTTTTCTTTGTACATCAAAGGCTGGAACTCACTTCCTGATAACATTGCGACTGTTAAGCACCCGTTTTTGTTTCGTTCTAAGTGCAAAATGTACTTGGGAAGGTGACCACTTGTGCTCCCGTGCCTCTAGTTTTTTACATATTTACTGTGAACTACCTACATAGTGCTGCTATTCAAACCTTTAATGTACACTAACATAATGCATTAATTCTTTAGCCTTCAGACGTTCTTGAGAGTAATTAAGCTTGAACTCATATCTGAACTATCTTCACGTATTATTGTGCAGCAGAGTGCTTCCGAGATTTTAACTTTTTCGTGATGGCAAGGGGTTTGTATCTGTAAGCGAGATTTATAACGACTCCTGCTGCAGCCTTGATGAGGCGATCAGTATGAACAAATAAATGAATCGAATCTCAAGGCGCCCACCAAGTTTCCCGAAAAAGCAGAATACCACGTGGAGACTGATTGCACATCGTTGCACGAACAGCGCTTCTGGGGTTTTAGCCTATTGACATAGGTACTACGAAGCCTTCCGCTCAAGTTTAGTACAGTGCACTTCAAACGTGACGCCGCCACGGCATTTGCCGTTTCTGACAGGCCCTGCGGTGGCCGACTGAACTATCTGAAAAGAATTTGGGTTCTTGATTTCAATCCCATCCCGAGAAGGCATTTCGAACGTTTTGGTGACAAATTTAACAGTAAGTAGCCGACACGAGCTCAATGTTTGGGAACCCAGTGGCGGCGTTACGTTCGGCGTGCAATGTACCTCCCATGTATCGCTTAGTTTGTAATGTCGTGCCGTTTTGCTATTTTCAGAAAGGCGTCGGTGTAGCCCATTCGGCTTCCGTGTATGCTTGTCCGCTCAAAACGGAAGCACCGGCAAGCCTTGCCTCAACAAGATCTGTGCACAGACCGACTCTCAGAGGCGCAGTGTGCACGGCGGACGTGGAGCAGTGCGGCAGATATCAGGGCGCCCTCGAAGCCACATGTGCCGTCGCCGCCGATCGGACTCCTTCTCGGAAGGGGCACACAGCTCGCGAACTGCACGAGAAGGCGCGTGGCCCCTCTCGTGCGGAAATAGCCGTCGAGTTTGGACGCCTTTCCGCACGCTTCTACAGATGTTCCGCGCGGCGGTCTCTCTGAGGAGAAGGCGAAAAACTGTTGGCCTAATCCCCGTTGGCACCAGATGCCGCGTTGGAGTCCGCTGCTGCTGCTGAGCGCCGCGGGCCGCCTCAGTTCGATGTTTATTTGACGAGATGAAGAACTTGGTTCCACGGTTTTGAAACAGTCTATATATATATATTTTTTTTTTTGGGGGTGGGGGGGGGGGGGGGGGTGGGGATAAGGTAGGGGCGGTCTTTGTTTACGCAGCCCGCGCGGCAGCACATGTCTGGTCAGGAACCCCGAACAAGAGCCACCCGCCGTGGATTCTGTAGTGTGAACCCAGGCCAAAGGAAAGAGGAAAAACAAACAGAATAATTATTTATACCTTCGTTCAGCATACCCTCAGGGAGTAATGTCTTAGAGAGAGAAGTGGTTACAATGCGTAGGTGAAAAAAACTTACCAGCGACTTATGTCTACAAAGATCGCCAAGTGCTGTAAACATCGACTTGCTCGAGAAGGACGACGAGCGAACCTGCCACCAGAGCTTTCCGTTCTAGCCGCTAGGTACCGTTGCCTTCGCAGAAGTCACCAATAATGCACAAAATGCTTTCGCATTAAAAAAAAAAAAAAAAGAGAGTTATAGCGCAGAAGAAAAAAAAAAGAGTTAATTAAAGATTGCGATCCTTACTGCTGCCGACATTGCTCACCTAATCGAGGAACGCTCGGAAACTTAGCTAAGCCTCTTCTTTGAGCCGAAGTCCTTCCAGCGTCAAATGAACCGTGCCTGAGACGCTAATGGCTGGCATATTTCTTTGTCGTCCGCGATCATCTGCGATCATCTAGGGGTCGGACAACGCCGACATCAGCAGGCAACGGGGTTGCTAGCACTACCCGGAAACGTTAAAGGAACTAATCCCCATCAGCTTACTTCCTAATAGATGCGCCAGCTCTTCTTCGGTCGTGGGCCTCCGCCGAAAGACACGCTCGCTTGACGTTTCTTTGCTTCGTTTTCGGCCAGTCACATCGCCTGCTGCCGAGAGCGTGCAGACGAACTACGCCGCCTTGAAGCCAGAACAGCGGCTGCTACGACGATGGGTGTCTGCGTCTGCAAATGGCATGACAGACGCGGGGAGGCATGCAGCAAGAGTAACAACCCATGTATTTATAAGTTCACTCGCGCAGAGTCGACGAGCAATAAAACGTAGCAGACCAGCCGTTTAGTCGGCGTCAACTTTATATATATACAGCGTGTTTCTTTTTAATTGGAAAGAGTTCCTAAAAACGAACAAGGGAGGGGGAAGTTGCTGAAAATAACATGAATAATGCCTTTCACGTGTACTTGCTGTCATAATTAGTTGGCTAATTAATTAAAATCAATGAATGAATTTGAAAAGTAGCGTATTTATGGGTTATGTCGTAATTATAGTTCTGAAGGCAGTAATTATTGGGGACTAAAATAATTTAAAAAATACTAAAAGGCAGCGTGTAAGTTGAGGCATTTATTGCTTGGATTTTGCGTTTTGGTCGCGTGATTTTAACACGGGATAAATAATGAACGCAGAAGAGTGACGTAGTCGTTTCGCAATTCTAAGCCTTATTTCAACAGTCTGTCTTATACCCTAGTCTAGTCAGACGTGCTCCCTCTCTAGTGCTCCCTGAAGGCTTTCAGTACGAACACCTTTAAAAGATCGGCAAGCTACCATACGCCGAAAAGCGCTATATTTCATGCGAGCGAATTCACCGATTATCAGAAGGCAGTGACGCCGGAAGTATATCTTGAGGGGGGGAAGGCTGTTGCCAAGTTCCTGTTTGTCGTTATTTTTTATTGTTCATGTACTACCTTTTTGTGCAGATATTACAATTTGTGTTTCCGTTACTAGCTGCGCGGGTTTCTTCCTTTCACTAAGTCGTGTTACGAGCACCTGACACCTTTCGTGACGTCATGAGTGCCTGGCGTGTCCCTTGCAAGCAACCTTATTAAAGGAGCTGTGCAACGATATTCAATTGGAATTTTTTTCACTTGACACGAGCTTACTGGCACACCTGGGACTCA